CCCTCCTCCCAAATCCTGCCAGGGCTGAGCCCCACAGCAAAGTGTTAAACAAGGATTCATCCACCCTGCCCAAGGCTCTGCCTCGCCTTCCTTCCTCTTGCCCTCCCAAGAAAATGGTTTCACCTTCCACAAAGTCTCAGCAGAGTCCCTGCCTCCCACTCAGGACCAGTTTTCTGGGCTGGTCGCTTCCATCTTCTCGTTTTTTTTGGTTTATTGTGGGCTCCTTCCATTTCCAGCACCCACAGAGGGGTCCTGCACCAATTTAAAGCCCCCTCCCCTTCCCTGGTGAGGAGCTGAGGGTGGTCCTTTTTTAGGGGGGTGCCAGGGCTCAGCAAAGAGGGTTTCGGGTGGATGATGGAAGGGGAGGTTGCAGGAGGGACTTGTTGATTTGAATCGCACCCAGTCCCGGATCGGTCTTGCACAGGCAGAGCTGCCCCTTCAATTTTTCGTTAAAAAGAGAAATATTAATAAAATATTAATAAAATTTAACAATAAAAATTTAATAATGTAAATGAAATAATGAATATAATACAAATAAAAATAATAAATACCATTATGAATATTCAGAAGGGAACACTCCACACAAGGACTGGAGGATTCGCAGACGTTTGGGCAAACCAAAAATCAAAGGTGGTTTTGGCACCCCTAAAGATGTTCTCGGGGGTGCAAGGCTGGGAAAACTGGGATTGTTCAGCCCGGGAGAAGAGAAGCTTTGGGGTGACCTGACCGTGGCCTTTCAGGACCTGAAGGGCTCCTGCAAGAAACATGAGGAGGAACTATTTAGAAGGGCCTGGAGCGACAGGACGAGTGGGGGTGGGTTCAGACTGACAGAGAGGAGGTTTGGGTGGATATTGGGAAGGAATTTTTCCCTGTGAGGGTGGGGAAACCCAGAGAAGCTGTGGCTTGCCCCTTTATCCCTGGGAGCATCCAAGGCCAGGTTGGAGCAACCTGGGCTGGTGGGAGGTGGAAATGGATTAAATGTCCCTTCCAGCCCAAACCATCCCAGAATTCCTGACCTCGCAGGAGTCACGGGAGAGCCCCGGCGCTCGGGGGGGTGACTCCCCGACTCGTCCCCCCAACCCCAACCCCAACAAACAGCCCCCATTTCCCGTGACGCCTTCCCAGCCAAGCCCGCCTTTCAAACACCAGCCTGATGAAACAACCAACCCAATCACGAGGCCCAGAGACACGAGGCTTTGGTTTCGGGTCTCGCACTGACTCAGCAGCGGCGGGCGCTGAGTAAGTCCCCGGAGCATCCCCGGCCCTCAGCGCCCGCCTTTGGCTGGCAGATAGGAGGATGCATTTTTTTCCGGCTTCCCCTCGCAAGGTTGTGGCGAGGACAAATTCATCAGTATTCATAGCAGCCCTTTGATTATCTGCAGGCTAAAAACAATTACGGGGCCTCGGCTACAGAAGGCGGTGATCAGGAGTCATGGGGAGAAATGCAAATGCCGGGGCGACACGTAGGGCTAAAAAATATGGGTTTGGGTGGGTAAACAGGGGAAACTGGGATGGTCAATGGCTGTCTCACTTCCAGGAGGAAGGTGTTGAGGACTATAAAAGGTCTCCTGGCCCGGCTCGCTTCATTCGCTTGCCTTCTCCTCCCTTCACCTCTCCTCGCTCTTCAAGAGGGTAAGTGAGAACTTCTGAATCTCCCTTCGTTTCCCAAAAGGAAAACCTTGGGTATCTGGGAGCAGTAGCTGGATCTCTAACTGGGGAGCTGGGATGGGGTTTGGGAGCTGGGCTCCTGTAAACTCTGCACGGGGGGGGGGGCTGGGAATGCTAAAGGAGGCTCCGGGAGCATCCCAAGGGGATGGAGAACGTTCTAGAAGGGCCCAGACTGAGGGCTGCGTGCACTGTGCTGGGTTGCTCTTCCTGGGAAGTCAGGGATGCCCTGGAAGGAGGAGGTGGGACCAACACTGCGGGAAAAAGAGGAGTTACGACCAAGATTTACAGAACGAGGCAAGGTTTGATTTCACCTCCTCGAACGTCCCAAGTTGAGCATAACCAGGGCTTGGAATGAATTCTGGATTTCCAAACCTCCTGTTCCCGGTCACAGATGCTCTCTCTGCTCCTCCCAGCTTTGCCCTGGGGGGGTTTCTCCCTGATGGAACCGGTGCTGGACAATATTCCACATTGCTCGGGTGTCCAACCCAAAGAGCCCTGGAGATCCCAGGGACAGGCCTGTCCTGGGATCCTGGACACCAGGGATTTTGGGATGGACTTTGGGATAAGAAGGCTTTAAAGCTGCCTAAAGAACCAGGAGATTCAGGCAGAGAAAAAAAAAAAAAAAAACAAAACCAAACTGTAGTTCCAACTTCCTGGGGAGGGGCAGAGGAGGGGCAGGACAGAGCTCTGCTCTGGGAGGACCAGGGACAGGACCCCCAGGAGCTGTGCCAGGGCAGGGTCAGGTTGGATCTCAGGGAAAGGTGGGTAGTTGGGCACTGACCAGGCTCCCCAGGGCAGTGGGCACAGCCCTGAGGCTGCCAGAGCTCCAGGAGGGTTCAGCTGATCCTCTGGGGCCACAGGGTGGGACTTTTGGGGCTGGGCCTGTGCAGGGCTGAGGGTTGGACTGGATGGTCCCTGTGGCTCCCATCCAGCTCAGCAGACTCTGTGCTCCTCCCCCCCAGCTCTGCCAACCCTCCAACCGACGAGATGCCCAACGGAGGCTGCGGCTGCTGCGGAGGAGGGAGAAGCTACTCCGTGACCTGCTACAGCAGCCCCAAGTGCTGCAAGACCCCCATGTGCTGCTCCCCCATGCAGTGCTGCAGCCCCTGCTGCACGCCCATGCAGTCCTGCTGCATGCCCATGACCTGCTGCTACACCATGAGCAGCAACAACAACAGGGGCTGCTGCGGCGGCTGCTGCGGCGGCAACTAAACCCGCCTGCCCTCCCCGGCTCACCCTGTGCTTCTGGACGTGGATTTGGATATGGACACCCCCCCCTGCTCTGCCTACAGGCCGTAGATCTCCTCTCCTTCGCCTGCTTTTGGTCACCCCACTGCTTGTGCTGTGGGTGGGATCCCCTTCCCTGATTCCCCCCCCCACCCCAACCCCGGCCCCGTTGTTCCTCTCCCCTCTGGGTGTGTGGGATGTTTGATGCTGCCAATTCTCCCTTTTCCCTCCCCTTCAACCCCCTAATTAGCCATGAATCACAATAAAACGTGTCAGTTATGATCCTGCAAACTCCTGGCTGATGTTTATTCATTTACCTCTCTTCATCTTTATCTTTCTCTTTCCAACCCGAGCTTCTAAGCATTTGTTTAA